TAAGCCATAGGCTCTTCAGCACCAGGCGGTGCTTCTAGAGTGCAAGAATGGAGCCCTAAAAAAAGTTAGGCCACTTGTCAAAACATCAGCTTGATAGTCACACCACCAGACGCTTCATATTGTTAGTGCTCTACCCCTTATTTCAAGTTCAACCTCTCAACTCCTGCAGCACTGGTCAAGGGGAAGTCAATTGTGCAGAAGTTTCCATTTTTTTCCTTTAGAGGAAGAAAACAAATCCTTTGTGACTCCCCAAAATCAGTTGTCTCAATTCCTGAAACCAGAATACTTTTCTTTTAGTCTCTAGTTATTATAACTTTGGATATTATAAATAGCAAGAATATTATTCAGTCCTTTTTTACTTTGAATAATTGTTTTTGTCATTAGTACCAAATTTGGTAAAGTATTCTACCACTTAATTGCTGTTATAAAGAACATCTTTGTAAACTGAAACATGTTCTATGTGCACCTGATATCCCTTTTTCCTTTGTACAGCCCTTTTCTCCAAACCTAAAGTGGCACGAAACTCAGGAGCGAGATCTGAAAAATGCTTTAAAGTACCTTAACTATTAACAAAAATGTATCTTATTTGTGTATCACTCGGCTGTAGATCCTTCAATCATCTCTGAATTGGTACTGATACTGTCCTGCCTTCTGGAGGGTGGCTACTTTGTTACCCATGGTCCCTGCTCGCTCCCGTGATGGACTAAAGTCTTACATATACAGTACTTCGCTAAATTGTATTGAAGTTCTAGTCCATCAAGTGAGCGAGCTTGGAGAGGTGGGTAATTAAATGCATTTTAAACATTTAATTCCTGAGTTTAGTGTCACTTTAACATATCTAAGTACATTTTTTTAATATAGGTAACATTTGCCATACTTTTTATTAATTTAGTTACATGCCTCTGAACCTTCACCAAAATGTCTAAATAGTGAACTATTTACATTTTGAGACCAATTGTATTAATTATTCCAAAAACACATCCATAAAAGATTAGTAGAAGAGATTTTTATAAGTAGTATTAAATATTTGTAATAAAAATGTACATAAGTCACACATTTTTATTATAAAAAGGGTCTACTGATTAAATGCAGGAGTGATGCAGGGAAATTGACAGGCGGCAGACTCCCAAAATGTGTAAGCAGCAGATGTATCCACTTCACCGTGTATAAATGATTTACTATGTTATGTTGGTAGCCCATTTTGTTCTATATTTTATATGCTATATCAGAATCTTTGATGGACCCTGTTATATATCATGCTTACTGTTTTAGTATAAAGTGTTTTTCTTTTCATGTTAACAAAAACTTTAGGAGAAGATAAAACTCCCAACTCGCATGAACTGATATCTTTAAAAAACTGTTAAGCAACCTGTTTTTTTTACTTAATCTATGCCACTTTGAGTCTCTTCAACTGTCAGAAGACCTAGTAGGAAACCTATAAAGCCCCAGGACCAATCCAAACTACTGATACTCTCCCAGTTAATCCTTTCTTTTTTTCAGTTGTTAAGTAGAACTATGTACAAAGTATAAATATTAATGTAATTTTATTGGTATCTATCTACCATTAGCTGCCTCATTTCCCACCCTCGGCTTATATTCGGGTCAATACTTTTTCCCATTTTTTTTTTTGTAAAATTAGGTACCTCGGCTTATATTCGGGACGGCTTATACTCGAGTATATACGGTATAAAATATCTCCGGTCTTTTCCTCAGTGCCATTAAAAATCCCCTCTCTTTTGCCCTATAAAAATGCCTTCACTAAAGGCAGTGGTGCATCTGTATAGCTTATATTGCTTCTAAGGCTTCATGTTAACTGGCTACCTGCTTTAAACACAGGAGAAGTTATCTGGAAAGCATAAACAACATTTCCTGTGTTTACAGTCACATGCATTTAGCAGAGCTGTAGCTAGCTCCTTTTGCTCCCGAGGCAAGAACGAAAAAATTTGACTCCCCCCAACGGGTGTGACATCACTGGATCTCAATCTCTTTTTATGCAGACTCTGTTCTGAATTAATGGAAAGCACTAAATACAGAGGCTTCCCATTCATTCAGAAAATATTTACTATCATCCAGTTATGAATGGATAGAAGCTTCTGTACAGAGTGCTGTGCTACTACCCATTCAGAAACTCCTGAATGAACAAGAAGTGATGTAAAACACTTCCTGTCCATTCGTAATTGGGGACTCATAGTACTATGTGTCCCCAGTTATTTACAAACATTGGAGTGATCAGATGATCAACGTTTATGCTGCACACAGAGGATCAGTAAATATGACAGATATTTATAGATCCTCTGCTCCTTCCAAGCACAGAGGGGCAGCACAACCTGCAGCTTCTTCTCGGATCCCCACTGTTTTCCCCCGCCTGTATGGGCAGAGCCAGCAGGGATTGGAGGAGAAATGAAGTGCTGGAGCCGTTCCAGGGTAGGGGGAGGGGCTGAGGAGAGAGCGCTGTCACTTCACGATAGCCGACTGGTGAGGAGAGAGCCGCTGGCTGTCAGATCCTGGCAGGACAGCTCTCTCCTCACCACTTGGCGATCCTGAAGTGACAGTGCTCCCTTCTCTGCTCCCCCGTCCGGCTTCAACGCTTCATTTCTCCTCAGATCCCAGCTGCCTCTGCCCATACAGGCGGGGGAGAGCAGCAGGGATCCAGAGGAGAAGCTGCAGACTGTGCTGCCCCTCTTCTCCCAGCCATGCCTCGCCCTGGCTGCGCCCCCTCGCACTTGCGTCCGAGGCGAGTGCCTCAGTCGCCTTGTCCTTGCTACGTCCCTGGCATTTAGGCCCATTTTGCTGTGTAATATCAGGCTAAACATTCCCAGGACACAGAAAATTCTTGTTTGTGTAGACGCAGCTGGACTGAATTCACCTAGATGCTACTATAGATCTAGGTGAGCATTCAGCCATAGCAAGGCATTGAATGCACCCAGGTATGTTTAGAAATTAGCTCCAACGCACCTGGACTCATGTATTTTAAATGCTGTGTGCATGGGGCCTAAAAGGGTCAAAGCACCTTGGTTAACAATTAACAATGTATTGTCACAATACATTCATGTAACACATGACATTTTATTGGACTGGTGTAAACAAAGTCTCAAAAATACTTCTGGAATTTCTTAGCTTTTAAAGTGTATGTAAACCCTTACAATGTGCTTTCTTTTGCTCTCGGAAATATGCTTTGGTGACTCCGGCCATGCAGTTTTCTCAGATTGTCATGGTGGTCTGGTGGTCCAAGAATAAAAAGGCCAGGGGGGATAATGCCCGATGCACTTTGCCCAGTGTATTCTAGACTTCTTCTGGTTGCATATTCTTTTTTTAATTTGATTTGCTAGCAACATCTCCACCAGTTTAGAGCTTCTGAAACATTTCTCTTTTGTTGCCATTCCTTACTCCACTTTGTGGATTGCTGTTTTCCTAATAAGGGTGCACTCCAGTCAAAACTAAAAATGAAACCTTTAAAAACAGTTTGAGAACAAGACCTATCTATAGCAGTTCAGTCATCTGGTTTTCCCAGAAATATTGTAGCAGAACACATTTTTTTTGTTTACCTGTTTGGAAAGAAGGATTAGTATTCACATTCCCACCACTGTGGGCTCCTTGTTGTCACAAGTTTGTTATAGTCACCAATCAGCTTTAGACCTGCCTTGGAAGTTTAAATTTAATTGGTGATATACAAGATGAGAAGTTGGAACCACAGGCCCTACTACTGAAAAGCTCTCCTAAATTTGGTTGCAGTAGTTTTATATAGAATGCAGAATATGGTTGATTGAGCGGGCTCTTTGACTTGCCTCCTTCCGTACCTCAGCCATTTATTTAATAGTTGTTGCCAGGGATTTCTCTTTCAGTAAAGGTGTATGTCTACAAATTCTTGTGCTAATTAGTTTAGCATTCTGAGAGGACATTTCTTTTTATATAGTATTTTTTTATAGTATAAATAATAGGCTTGTACCTATTATTAATTTCAAAAACACTGGCACTTGGTTTAAAGTAAATGTAAAGCCAAGCTATATGAAACACTTAGTGTTTCGTTCCACTGCGAACGCAAAATAAATGCTGCATGCTCTATTTTTTGCATTCGCAGTGGACCGGAACGCAGGTAATGTTTTGTCATGCGTCCGATTGCACTGCGGGCAGGGGGCTAGGCTGCGGTGCCATTGACTTTATTGCACTGCCATGCCCACTCCCGCAAAAGAACGAAGGGGGAAATTCAGTGTGTGATTGCTGTGTGTTCCACCAGCTACAGCTCTGTAACGCACCGCAATTGGTGTGAACAAGCCCTTCGTGACAATGCTTATACATTGCCTAAACATGCTCTGTAGTTGAGTTTTAAAAAAAGTACCTTCAATACCTTGTTTTCCTTATTTTATTAGTGGTCTCTTGATCTTTTTTTTCTCCTCCCAGGTCAGAGGGCTAGGGCAGTGTCACCACATGACCGCTCTGGAGACTCCTCTGCTCTGTAGAATCTTGTGTTGACAGTGATACTTCCTATGGTAGCTGTTGTAAGTCTGCTAATAGTGGACCAAGAGTCATGGCTGTCTGTATAATCAGAGGCAGATGACTAGACTTTTCAGGATACCATTTATAGATAGAACGTCCTGTACACTCATAATGAGGAAGTGCTGAATGGTACAACGACGAGAAACCAGGAAGTACCCTGGACTTTGTTTTGATTATCAGGGAAATTCACCTGGGATCACCAGTTAAATTATACATAACAAAAGAGAATGGGGGATATTTATCAAAACTGGAGCAGACAAAATCTGCAGCAGATTTGCACTGCAACCAATCCGCTTCTATCTCTCATTTTCAAATCTTACGTGAGCAAACCGAAGAGAGATGCTGATTGGTTGCCATGGGCAACTTCTCCAGATTCTCTCTACTCCAGTTTTAATAAATCCCCCCATTGTAAATAAATGCTTTTCAGGGAACATTTGAGATTTGTATGTAACATTAACTGTATTCTTATTATTTGCATTTATTGACACTTTAATTTATTTTTTCAGAATCTTGTTGACAAAAAAAATCGGGATACTAACCAGTATGGAGCTTTACTTGAGAAACAGGTTTCCATGCTGCAGAACGCTGAAGTGGAGATTCAATCTCTTAAGGAAAAATTACAAGAGTCTCAAGACACCATTGAGGTAATTCTAGAAAATAATGTATCGCTATACCTAGAAATCTCATATTTTTCAATGGTGTGACCTCGGTGTGGTCTGGAGTATCTATTTTCGACCTTACATAAACATTTTTAAACTGTCCCAGCTTTAGTCTACTTTAGCAGCACAAAGATGCTCTTTTTGGAAAGCCTTTGGTAGGGACCACTATTAATTTTACTTGAAACAGCACAGCAACTTAACCCTAGCACCTAGGCTCATTCACAGTTAATAATAGCACCCCGGAGTTGTTATATTGACATGGATGGTCTCATCCTGCCAAAACCAATAGTAGTAGGGCCACTATGTCTCATTTGTGGAATGGTATGAATCTGCTGCAAAGATGAACCTTTGGGATTTGTAGTGCAAATGAACTTGCACTATTATTTGCAAGTTAATTTGCACTGTACACTTGCTGTGACAAGACTTTTGCAGACACAGTGAAGAGACTGTAGAGCCAAATACATCAATGCTCAACTAGTGATTTTTGTTTATTGTAGGATAGAATGGGGAAGGTTTTATTTCCATGTCCTTATTGGGGATATTTCTTCTTTCTATTGCCCTGACCACATAGAAGGTGAATCCCCCAATAGGGACACCGACAGCGAAAACAAAAAACTGACAGAGATTCTAACCGTTCCCTGCTCTACAAAGGCAGTTTATTGGTTTTTGCATACCCATTGAAGATATTTTCTGTCATTCCCTGTCCTGGTGACCACACAGGAAGTAACAGGAACTTTTTAGTCCTCTTTCACACGTCACAATGTCATACATGCAACCATATGCATTTATAGGGCACTTCATGCATATAAATACATGCAAACATTTAACATGGTATGATGCTCACTGTGAGTTTACTTGCGTTCGGGTGTATTCAGTTTAATTGTGTTTAAAAAAAATAGAAATTTGCGCATCCTGTGTGAATGAGGCATTAAAGTGGTTTGTTGAGAGAAAAATAGCCTCTTCAGATAGGTTATATATGTTTTTTTTAAGGATTTAGCAGACTTTAATGTTTTTCTGTCCTGGCGACATCCGCACAATTCTCGTTAGTGTCACCGGGATAGAATGTCAGCCTCCACATTGAGGAGAAATACAGCAATAGAAACATGACAGAAGTTCTGACTATTGTCCATGTTATTGAAATTTTTTAAAACAAGTATGGGCCAGATTGGGCTTTTATAATCGACACTTATGCCCGAGGACTTAATTTGCTACGATACTCTGTGCTACTAAATGGACAGTTGGTACAGATGTACACAAATGGAAAACTGACCTTTGAGGAGGAGTGGGAACAGATTTGGAGCACAGTAAAGTGATCAAGCTATTTTTATTCAGTTGAGTCCAGCCATAAAGTTCTTTTCTAGTGGTACCTGATATAAGCTAGTATCATTCATGCCAGGTCACTCACCCACTTGTTTCTGTGGCTATAATGAAGCGGTATTATATTCCCTCATGTGGTAGAAAGTCTGATATTCAGTTATGGATCAGGGCATATCAAATGATATACACACTGTTTGAGTAAACATTTAGAAGAATCTCCTGTGAAAAGCTGTTGAACAAATCCTGCAGGAATCAACAAGTACCAGTTATATCATCTTACCTTTTTTTACATCAGCTAAGCCAATTATTGCAAAAGCCTGAAAGACTCAGAGCTTTGCATAGTTAAAATCCCAAATTAACTGGATAATGATTAAACCCAATAAACCTTCTTCATTTATTGCTGTAATGCAGTCAAGCTGAAAATACAGCAGTAAATATGCTTCTTTTTCTTTTTTAGGTACTCTGTGCTGCAGCAAGGGTTAATATATTATTTTGCTTGCATCACACTGGAGAGATGGACCTCTGCTCGCACATAGCTGTGCTCACAATCACTGAGCAGAAATTTATTTTTGTTTTTTTGAATTTATTTTATTGTGTTGAACGTTTTTTGATGGCCCAGTGTATTGTATACAAGACAGGTAACCATCCATGAAGAATCACTTTTCTGTTTGTATAGACTTTTAAAAATTCCTGCCTCTAATTTAGAAAAGCCCTGTTGCCAGTTTCCGTAGCTATACCGACACTTGCGACGGATTCAGATAGTTTTTAATAGCGCCACTTTAAGAGTCTGTTGCTATGGCTGCGACAGAATCAAAAAGAATTACTGCCAGTTTACAGATTAGACCACTGATGGTAATTCAGACCAACCCTAATCTGGCATACAGGGAGACGCCAGTGTTCAGAGTGAGGCATGTACAGTATGTGCTGATTCATTGGTTGCTAGGACTTTGGGCTGCGTGGCTTCCTAGCAACCAATGGCACATAGCTAGCCCCATTTAGGTGATAACAGGCAGCTGCATGAAAACAAAGAAGCTGGGGAGGCTGGCTTACATCATTACCTAAATATGGCCATAATTTCCCAAAGTAATGTTAGCATTGTCATTTACAAAGATAGATCAATATTTTATAGCTGGAGGCATAGGCTTAAACCCATTCATAGCCGGGGCCGTTTTAAAAAAATCTTATGCATTAGGGATGCACTGATTATTTAGCAAATACTCGTACTGGCCCAAATGCTCTGGTATCAGGAAGCTGGGTGGCGAGTCATTACACGGGAGCATGGAGCTGGGTTCCCGGCCAATCAGGAAGCTGGGGGGTGGGTAATGACCCCCCCCCCGGCTTCTCGATTGGCCGGGAAGCCGGCTCCATGCTCCCTCGACACCTGGTGACAAGGGAGCATGGAGACTGCTTCCCATTAGCCAGACAGCGAGTCGTTACATGTCGTCTGGCTTCCTTAATGGGACTTCTAGTATTGGTATTCTGTATCGAGGAGTACCGCAAACAAAATATCGGTACTCGTACTTGATACCGAAAAACCGGTATCTTTACATCCCTATTGTGCATACATGCTAAAATACACATTGCTTTATCATCTATTGAGAGACGTAGGAATGTAGTAATTCTCAAACATTTGGGTTATACTGACGCCTTCAGGAGGTTTTCACACTAGCATACAAAAATTGTTAAAGTAGTACTAAAGACTGGGTGTTTTTTACCTTAATGCATTCTCTTCATTGAGGCAAAAAACTCCCAGCACTTTTCTAACAGCCCTGCCACCCCACACCCACACCGCTTGCCTCCTCCACCGCAACCGGGATGACACTCAAGGTAAGCCTCAGAAAGTGGTGAGTTGTGGCATTTTCACAGACCTCTGTATACTGTACTAGTAAGACGCAGAATGGTCTTACTAGTACAAAGCCATAACACAGACTTTGGTGTGATCCAGTCTCTGAAGACTCCTTTGCGAGTAAGGCCATCCTGCTTGAACCAGATTGGCATTGGAAGCTGTAACCGAACACCGTTTACTATAAGATTGCTGGACTTTGCATTTTGGCACATCCCAGACATTAGTGTATAATGTTAGTGAACTGCACAGCCACTGGTGTGGGCCGGCCAGGCTTAAGCACTGGGAGCTACTTCACAGCTGATAATGTTGGGTGCCATTTTGAAATTCCTGCCGCCACCACCATCTTACAGTGCTGAAGGTTAAGGCTGACATCATCTGCTAGGTGGACTGTTGTGTGTGTAAGCCCAGAATTTTTGCTGCCATTCAGCCTAGAGGTAGCATTTTCCTGCTGCTGATGCTCCTACTTGTAAAGTGCTTTATGGATTATTTGGTCTGTTCCATTCCACTGCTCACCTTCAATGACTTTATAACCTCAGGCCACCTGTGACCTTTATCACCATCAGCAAGTTCCATATGATTCAGTTTACAAGGAGTCCTTGATCCTTTGATTGATGCAGTGAACTGTAGTCTTCAATTGGAGGATCAGCCTGCTGTTCTGGGCATGGGGTCTTTTAGAGCTGTTGCTCCAAAGACCTTCCCAAAACGCCTGGTATGTAAAACCTTTTTCTGTGAGGACTGGAATCAACCTGTGGAATCATGACTTCCTCCTGAGTATACACTAAAGGAACAGTTTACCCTTTAAGGTTAGTAATATTTTTTGGCTCTGACCTTGATACTGTTATACCTGATGCCTTTTGTGCTTGGGATGCGCACCTGCCTCAAGACAGGAGATCTTGGGATGGGCCAAGAAGCCCCATTCTTCCTCTACCAGTACCTTATAGACATTCTCTGCCTACATCCCACTCAAGCCCAAGAAATGCATACCCACTGCTGACAGACTGTTTATATAAAAAGTCATATTATAAAGTGACTATGGCAAACAAATATTTATATATTATTTTACCTTCAGATGCCAAAAGTCCTCTGTGTCACCTGCTCAACCCTATGTAAAAAGATACTCCTCTACTTTTGAGTGGGAGGTTGTTTTGCTTGTCTGCTAATTTCTTTACTGAGTTATCTCCTAGCAGTTGGATCCTCAAGTTCCTCTTGTAGCTCCATTCTGAATATTTGGATCAGACATCCTTGTATGTCTGCCCCTACTGGCATTACAGCACTTCTTTCCAGAAATATTGGAAGTCTCCTTCACCCTGTGATCTCCGATTCCTACTTTCATAGAAATATGTAATTGGAATTGTTATACCATTCGATCACATACGCCTCTCCACACTGAAGTCCTTTTCGAAGTTGTTTTGCACTCCTTGAGATGCCTGTCTCTTCAAGCCCTATCTCTCTCAGGAGGGATTTCTTGTCTTGCTAGATCAACATGGATTAGTTCCCACTACTAGCTGGCCTGAGAGAATATGGCTCTTCAGTATATTTCTGTAGTTTTTATACTCTACCCACTGCATTGCCTAATATATTAATTCTAGTGACATTTGTTTCCTAGCTCCCCTCTTATGAATTGCCAGTAGGCCTTCACTAATAAGAATCAGTGTCCTGAATTCTTATAAGTTTGTTTTTTATTCTCCTTCCACATTGGAGAATTTGGTTATAAAAGGAAAAATAAAAAGGTCAACAGCGCCTTGCATTATAACAGCAGTGGGTGGCTAGTGTGAACAGGCCTTAAGGATGAATTACTTCACGGTACCTGCAATTAGAGAGGTCAGTGGGGGTTTAAAAAAAAGCTCTTTTATTGCTTGTTAATAATATGTAATTAAATGTTTATTGTCTGGGCATTGGTGCACTTTAAGTCATTTGTATTTTGGGGATTAGGGAACTATTGACATATCTGAGCCTGATGAAGGGGACCCTGTGTGGCCCCGAAAGCGCTTGCTAATGGGAGACTGCATTGGTCAATAAATCAGCACTTGATTGCTGTTATCATCGTATCTGAGCCTGATGAAGGGGACCCTGTGTGGCCGCCAAAACGCTTGCTAATGGGAGACAGCATTGGTCAATAAATGAGCACTTGATTGCTGTTATCATCGTTTGGTGTGCTGGTGACATCTTCCTATTGTCCATTCAAAATGAAGGGGCTTCTTACAGTTACGTGCATCCATGCTGTTAACGTGGATGAAGTAATCTATAATATTTTTTTTGTTCAGCCTCACAGACTTTGTGAAAAAATTATCTCTGTATGTACCCACCTCTAAGGTGGCCATACACTTTACAACCCTTGCGAGGGTTGTAAAGTAATTTAAAAAACGTACGATCTGCCCATCTTGGCCAGGCAGATCGTACTTGCGTTCATCGCAAGCCCGCCCCCCTGAAGGACGGGCTTCCGATGACTGCAATGCTGAACGGGCAGTGTGCGCGTGCGCACACCGGCCCATTCGTCGGTTGTCGAACAAGCAGGCCACTAACCCGTCGAGAATCGTACGCTTCTTGGCGGGTTTTCCAGCCTGCTTGTTCGACTGAACACGTGCGACCGTATAGTAGAAACGGTCGCACGCTTTCCATGCACTTTGCGATTATCGTACAATCGCGGGATTACCCACGATTATCGTGCGATAATCGTACACTGTATGGGCACCTTTAGACAGACACTACATAGGGAAATTCCTAATGCAATATCAGAGCATTGCTTTTTTCCCAGGTGTACTATATGTCTAAAGTCCAGCACAGCCCTGCCCTATGGATTTTGAATTTCGCTCGCAAATTGCAAGCACTCGTTGATCAGTGCAGTCAGGTGACCATGCTGACCATTGAGAAGCACTTCTTTGCATGGTTAAATAGGGTTTTGGTTAAAATATTTGTTTGATATCAGGACAAGTAAATTGGGCCCCCACTTTAGTCTTTGGACAAGAAGTTTTTTTTTCACACCCCTGAAAGTCCCTCTGCATCTGAATACTTAAGAGACAATTTAAGCTGGCTTACATCCTATACATTTCATTATAGTGTTAATTGTGTCACACTGTTTGTGGTCAACCTTTATTCTTTTCATTCCTGTGTGTCAGATTTTCATTTCTTAGACTTGGTAACTTTTTTGTTTGTTTGTTATAGATGCTGCAGGATGCTCAGCGGCAGTTGACTGCTAAGAAGAACAGTGAGCAAGAGGTAGTACAGGATCAAGAACGTATCCTGCAGTGTTTAAGGGAGACTCTCCAGAGTAAAGACCAAGAGGTAATTGTGCTTATTGAAAACAAATGCATCCCATCTTCTGCTTTTGTGGAACAATATGTTGCAATACTATACTGTCATGTGCTTATGACACTTACTTTGTAAAGAGGAATTTAAATCTGACGGAATGCAGGACTTTGTTTTAACAATGACTAGCTATGAAAGTCAGTAAATGCAACCAACAGTTTTACTTTACTGTAAAAATAATATACAGTTTAGATATGATGCTAGGTAGATGCTATCCATACCCACCCTGTTTTTATACCATGCTGACTGAACACACAGCTTATTCAAGTTGGGTTCACATGGATCAAATTTCCTGCTGAATTGGGTGAATTTTCACCCAAGGGTGGCCCTATCTTCTCAACAAAATTCGATCAATACATAAGCTGAAATCTATGAGCATAGATGAAATGTGTGTCCAGAGAGTATTGATAAAGGACTCTTTTTCAAATTGGTCTAAGGTTGAGAGTGGCATGTGGGTTCTGTGCTAGGCCCCCTACTGTTTAACCTTATTATTAATATGGGGAAGGTGTAAATAGCCATGCTTCTGTGTTTGCAGATGATACTAAAATTGGGAGGGTAATAGACACGGACTTAGACATTATATAATTACAGGAAAAATTGATAAAATAGGGGAGTGGGCAACTATATGGCAGATGAGGTTTAATGTTGAAAAATGCAAAGCACTGCATTTTGGGGTTAAAAAAAGGCAAGCGGAATAAATATTAATGGGAACTGCAATAGGGAAGTCAGAAATGTTAAACAATTTGGGGGTCATAGTGGACCACATATTGAACAATAGCTTGCAATGCAGGCTGCAGCAAACAAAGCAAGCAGAATCCTGTCTTGCATTAAAAAGGGAATGTACTGTAGACAAAGCAATCATTTTGCCACTTTATAGATTACTGGTACGGCCTCATCTTGAGTATGCGGTCCAGTTTTGGTCACCTATCCACAGAAAGGATGTCCTTGAGCTAGACAGAGTCCAGAGAAGGGCAACCAAACTAATTAAGGGGCTGGAGGACCCAAGCTATGAGACAAGGTTACTACATTTAAACTTGTTCACGCTGGAAGTGAGGCGATTAACCTCTTGCCGTCCGCTCATTGAGAAAAGACGGTGGATTCACATTTGCGGGTTGCCGACATCAGACGGCTTTTTTTTTCTGCTCGCGCGCGCCCGGTTACCGGCTCTTTGATATACAAGGGTCGGTGGCTCTATAGCCTGCCGATCGTATGTATGTGCTGTCTTTGCACGACCTTCCTCCCCCCACTCAAATGCCGCCGTCTGGAGTGCCCCCCCTCCTGACCCCTCACCTTCAATCCCGGGATCCGCTAGCCCATCTGTGGCACAGGACCGGCTCGGGAGGGCGTCGGGAGGTAAAATGGGAGGGAGGTCAGCATCTTCCTCCTTGCTGACCTCCCTCTGAGGTCTGAATGCAGAAGTGATGTGTATTACATCCCTTCCGCATTCACCTGTCAGTCATCTGGCTGCTATAGCCAGAGAGAAGAAGCTGATGAAGCAGATCTGTGCTTCATTAGCTTCTTTTGGGGTCCCCAGGTGACAGTAGGGGTCTCAGAGATAAAGAGGGCCTGTCAGTGTACCTGTACTATCACATAGGGAGATTGTTATCCCCCTTTGTGATAGCAATAACAATAAGTGTAAAAAAACATTAAAAAAATAAAAGTCACATATAAAAAAGTTTTTTTTAAAAACCCAAATTTTTAAGTCCCCCACCCCCACATTTACGAACATATAAACGTAAATACGCGTTCGATGCGCCAGCGTGCGAAAATGAAAGTTGCGCTACACATGTTACATATCGTCGCGAATGTCGGAGTGTGAGCAATAATTTTAGGGCCATCAATCACTGATAACACTAAACTGATGAGCGGTAACAGCTTTTAAAGCGTCGCCTATAGCCAATTTTGGGTATTGTAGTTTTTTTTAGGTTTCGCGCACGCAATTTTAAGGCTTGACATGTTTGGTGTCCATTCACCTGATGTGACCCCGTCTCTTATATTTTACCAAAAAATTGGGTAATAATAAATGTTTTATCTAGGGTTGCACAGATACCAAGTACAGTGAAGAAAAATTGTATATTCCCTGGAGCTCCGATATACTATAACAATCCCTTTATATGTATTCCTATGATTGGTCATCCAAGGTCATGCAACCAAAAGTTAATGAACAAAAAACAGGGAAGTGTTCCAAGTGAGGATCACAGAAAGTCGTTGCTAAACAGACCGAGACCAGTGAATCTTATAAAAATATAAACTTTATTTGTTTTACAAAACATCAATTAATTGCAACAACAATTCTGCTTCTTACTGATGAAATAAAAGAACAACGTTGTTCGTGACACTCAAACATTCATTCATACATACTATGGGCCCCACACATACTGCGACTAAGCTCAATCCCTGCAGAAACAAAACGAGGGAATACTCCCAGGTGAAGCACCTGATAGTGATCAGTGCTGATCCCCTTGACAGACGATTATTTGGTATTTTGACAAGATAGATCAAGTTGAAAAACTCTTTAACAGGTATCCAAAGACCTAATGGATACTATCTATCAGTTGGTGATTAATATAGGAGGTCTCTGTGATTCACCATAATTGGAAGGTGACACAATCCTGTGTGGTAAGATGTAATCATGAACTTCCATATATCTGTATTCTTTATAAATCTATTTCTTTAAAGAGAAAGAGTCCTTCACTTGATTTCCTGAATCATCTTAACCTTCCCCTATATCAATAAATTCCTCCCGATGAACAGAGTATTTTTCGAGGGGGAGACCTGTGATGGACTATTTCAAGTTGTTTCATAGTCAGCCGTACTCACAGTTGGTCGTCTCGTTCCCCTCCTTTTGCGAGTCCAGATATCCAGATGGAAGTCCTGTAGTCTCAACGTAATTGTTGGTATATGGATCACTTGTAGGGGGAAGATTTTGTAGGGGTTTTTTTTAATTAGATTCGTAGTGATTCTGTGATCCTCACTTGGAACACTTCCCTGTTTTTTGTTCATACCAAGTACAGTACTCAGTACAAGTACGAGTACATGTACAGATACTTTTGAGCTCCAAGACTAGACTAGCGAAAAATTCAAAAATTAGGAGGCAGCTGTCATTTGTAAGGAGCACACGGAGCTCCTGGGATTTGTACATCTCTGTTTTAATGTACGATTTTGTTTTTATAAATATAAATAAAGGGATGCACAGATACCACTTTTGCGAGTACTGGTACTTGCCGAGTACTTACAAGTACGAGTACTGATACATTTTTGTTTATTGTCATGTGACAGTTTTTCTAAAACAATACAGACTAATGGTTTCAGGACAGCAGTGGAGTGCCAGAGCCAGGTCCCAGCTGCAACCGCTGCAACTGGTACTCGAAAAGTATCTGTGCATCCCTAGTTTTATCATTTAATATAGGGGAAACTGTTTTTTTTCTCAATTTTTGGTAATTTTGCCTTAATATAGTAAAAAATAAAAACCCCAGTGGTGATTTAAATACCTCCAAAAGAAAGCTCTATCTGTCCCCAAAAAATGGTAGAAAATTAATTTCAGTACAGCGTTGTATGACGAAATAAATGTCAGTCAAAGTACCGCAGCACTGAATACTGAAAAATGGCCTGGACAGGAAGGGGGTTTAACACCGCGGACTTCAAGTGGTTAAGGGGGGACATGATTTCGATGTACAAAATGTTGCCATCTCCACTAAACATCAGCAATAAACTTTTTACTGTAAACTCCCTACCAAAGACAAGAGGCCACCACCTAAAATTGGTGGAGAAAAGATTTATCCGCAAAGGGCGCAGGGGCTTCTTTTCAGTCAGAGTGGTTACATTCTGGAACTCTCTTCCACAAGCAGTAATATCAGCAGAGAGTATTGAATTATTAAAAAAATAATTTAGATACCTTCCTCAGAGACCGTAATATACAGGGGTACAGGTTCTCTTAAAAACTAGACCACAAAGGGACTTGTATACACAAACATGCACGCACAAACACACACAGACGCACAAAGGTTGAACTTGATGGACCTGTGTCTTTATTCAACCTCAAATACTATGTAACTATGTAACTTTTTTGAAGGGACAGTCTGAAAAATTGTCGTCCGAACAGTGCTTGCAGCCAAACAGCTGCAGGCACTGTTTGGTTATTCTGACAGCAGTGGGTGTTTCTTTCTCATGCCCTATTTTGCACTTCATAAATATTGTTAACTGAATGTTATACCCTGTCCGGTATCTCCACTTCCATTGCCCTTGTACTTGAAAATGTCCATAAAAGTTATGTGAATTAAAATATAGAAATTGCTATGGTCATCAGGAAGTTTTCACATGAGGGCAAAATATAAAATTTCTCCCCCTATTGTAGTTCCTGTTTTTTTCTAAAGACATTCTTTAAAATATTTGAATCCTGTCATCTTCTAGGTGGTGGAATTATATCAAATAATAAGCAATCACGAGGATACCATTGCTAAACTGCAGGATATGCTTCTGAAAAGTCAGAGTGAGCATTTACAAGTAAGTAATTTTTATACTTTATTATTCTGCTGGGCAACATTTCTACTTTATCCAAAATACATATTATGCTACACCCTTTTCTCGGGGGCAAGGTCATTTTATTTTCGGCTGTCCAATTTTTATGCACCACAATGAAAGCTCATCTAGCTGCATTGACTGAGAGCTTGCAGAGCGGAAGCAGAGGCGAGCAGAAGCATGCCGGTGCTGGCGGACGTGTGCTGCTGGTGCTGGCAGTATCATCACTGGAGACGGGGGGATCGGAGGCCCGAGATAGGAGACCAGGACTGAGCCTTGGGGAACCCCTACAGAAAGAGGCCAGATGTGAGCTAGTTTTTTGTTTGGAATCCCAGATTCTGGATCTAAACAATAAACTGGCAACACTGCGGATCATAAACAACATGGGAAGGAGTCTGGACTTGACGCACCAGGCTCTGTTGGAGGGCGGTATAGAGGAGGAGCAGGATCCCAAGGTGGGTAGCTGGGTCACCGTTAGAAGGCGGAGTAAAAGGAAGAGTGCGAGAGATGCCAGTCCTGAATTAATACACCCCAATAAATATGCCAGGTTGTTGGGGATATTAGTTCAGGGGTGACATTGCTGGAGCAGGACGCTTACTCTATCCGCAGGGAGAGTGACTGCTCCAGTAAGGATGGGAGCAGGATGGCGGGGCAGGAAAGACAGATTTTGGTGGTGGATTTCTATTATCAGACGGACAGACGGTAATCTGCCATTCGGGCTGTGAGCGTTGAACAGTCTGTTGCTTACCGGGGGCTCGTGTTTGACACATTGCGGAACGGATGGACAGGTTACTGGGTGGGGCATGACCCAGCTGTCATGGTGCACATCGGCACCAATGACAAAATTGGAGTGTCCTAAAAAACGAGTTCCGAGACTTAGGTGCTAGGTTGAAGAAAAGTACCTCCACTGTAGTATTTTCTGAGATACTGCCGGTGCCACGCGCCACTCCAGGGAGGCAGGGAGAGTTTCCCTTCTCTTTGCTGCTCTTCCTTTTAAATCTGTATCTGTTCTCATGCTTGGGGAGAACTTCTGTTTTGCAGCAGACTGCCTTGTCTCTGGAATGGATACATGCTGTCTGTGTGCAGGTTTGCAACCTTAGCCAGCACTACAGGAAGAGGCACTCAGCTGCAAAGGGAAGTTCTCCCCAAGCATGAGAAGACATGAGGATTTAAAAGGAAGAGCAGCAAAGAGAAGGGAAACTACTATGGATTACAGTAAGGCACACATTACAGTATTGTTTTATGTTAACAAATCTGAGGGTTTAATGTCACTTTAATGGGGAAGGTGCAGCACTTTTGGGGGAGAAAATGGTTAAAAGACTGGAGGAGCTTTTAAACTGGATAATGGGGGGAGGGAATAAAAATGGGGGAAAAAGACATAGAATATGTTACTTCAAGGGCAGTTAACAAAGAGGGCAGTTATAAAAGGGGGGGGGGGGCAGCAGGCTCACTCCAGTCAAACTATTTAGTAATGTACAAATTAGAAATTTTCCTATTTTAATAAGGTCGGAAGTGGGATTGTTTTAGGAATACATTACATGATGCTATTACTAAGTGCATACCATTGGGTAACAAACACAAAAGATCGGTAGCTAAGCCTGCATGGTTAAACAAAACAGTAAAAAAACATATCAAAGAAAAGAAGCTGGCATTTATAAAATATAAGATGGAGGGGACTGCATTGGCATTCCAAAGCTACAAGGAATGCAATAAGATATGTAAACATGAAATCCGGGCAGCTAAAATAGATCACGAAAAACATATTGCCACAGTTAGTAAAAAGAACCCCAAAACATTCTTCAAATATATAAACAGCAAAAAGTTAAGAAAAGAGCGGGTGGACCCAATAAAAGATGAAAATGGGAGACTAATGACAGGGAGAAGGCTGAGGTATTAAATTCATTTTTCTCCTCTGTTTACACTAAGGAAAAAGACGGGTTTAATAGAGATAAGAATGTGAGTTGCTCAGTGCGTAAAACACCACAGTGGTTGACAGTAGTTCAACAAAGACTGCATAAACTTAATGCAAATAAATCATTGGGACCCGATAACCTGCACCCCAGGGTACTTAAAGAGCTTGGCCAGGTTATAGCCAGACCATTATTTCTCATCTTTACGGACTTGTTAATGACTGAAAGGGTACCAAGTGACTGACGTAAAGCTGCGGTAGTACCAATATTCAAAAAAGGTTCAAGATGTCAAGCGGGTAATTAAAGACCAGTCAGTCTAACATCAATAGTATGCAAACTGTTTGAGGGAAGGATAAATTACTATTTAGTGGATTTTGTTTTGACAATGGTATTATAAGTGATAATCATCATGGATTCAGGAAGGACCGTTCTTGTCAGACCAACCTACTAACATTCTACGAAGAGGTGAGTAGAGATCTGGATAGAGGGAGGCCGGTGGATGTGGTATATCTGGATTTTGCAAAGGCATTTGATACAGTACCACATAAACGCTTAGCACACAAGCTAAGGTCTATGAGCATAGGTGAAATTGTACATGGATAGAGAACTGGCTAGAGGAACGTGTCCAGAGAGTTTTGATAAATGACTCTTTTATAAAACTTCTAAAACTCTTTTAAAACTTCTCACACTGGTGTGGTTAGCCAGCGAATGTTATGAAATAGAAACTGGCTACTTCTAGGTTGTAACAAGCCTGCTGACCTTCGACTTAAAAATTGCATAAAGGCATCCCATTTTATCAGTGCAATAACTAGAGGTGCACCGAAATGAAATTTTCAAAACCGAAAATAGAAAAAATGTTAGGCCGAAACCAAAACTATTTTTTTTCCTAACCTTTTAAAATTTTGTAAAATATTTTATTTTTATTAAATATTTTTTACTTTACAGTTGGGGGCTTTGGGGAAATATCGGGAGTCTAAACAGATTCCCGATATATCCCTTTTAAAATAGAAAAAGAGAGACACAGAGTCCTCAATCTCTTTTTCTGAAGCCCCTGTTATAAATAAACAGCAACACTCTATGCTGAGTGTTCCTTTTTATTCATAACTTGTGGAGATAGTATGTTTACCATGTCCACAATTATGAATGTACAGGAAATGATGTAGATCACTTCCCATTCATTCATAATTGGGGACACAGTCCTCAATTATTTACAAACAGTCGCTCTCCTTCCTGACATGCTGTAACAGGGGGTTGAGTGAGCGGTGCGGGGAGGAGAGCTCATCTCCTCTGACAACTGACTCCTCCCCCGCACCACCGGCCCAGCCTCCCGTGACAGCTGTCTCCGCCCTAACACCGCCGCTCTCCTGATCTGTCACAGCAGGCTGAGCGAGGTGGTGCGGGAGGAGAGCTCAGCCTCCTTTGACAACACTAACAGCTGTCTCCGCCCCCACACCGCTCTCCTAATCTGTCACAGGAGGCTGAGCGGTGTCAAAGGGGACACAGAGCAGCGCTCAGCAGGAAGGAGAGAAACCAGGGATGCACTGCTATATCGGCCGAAAAATAGCACTTTCAGCATTTTGCCAAAAGTGCAATTTTCGGACGATATGCTTCGCTAGCCAAAATTTCGGTGCATCCCTAGCAAGAACCCTTATGTAAACTACACAAACAGCTGTATTACTTTGTTTAACAGGTTTCTGGTGGTACTAAAGAAATTTATTTTAAAATTTGAGATTTGGCAAGCGGCCCCCATTGGAGAAAAAAATTTGTCGAGTGGACCCCGAGTGAAATGTGTTTGAGACCCCTGTTCTAAAGTGTATCTAAACCTAAAACGTTGTTTTTTTTACGCATGTCAGGTTTTTCATGCTGACTGTGTTCTTGCTAGAGAGATTTAGTTTTTTTCTATTTCTCCTGGTGACTAATATCAGTGGGACTGAATGTGATAAATAATCAAAAATATTACATTGTCACCAGAACTGGGATAGAGGGGAAATCTTTCATTGGGGTGAGAACTGTCTAAAAGGGGATTTACCTCACTATGGGAAGTTTTCCATTCTCCTCATGAATGTCTGCATCTCTTCCCTTTTGGTTGTCATCTTGTGTCTTACAGAAGTGCACAAATTGTGGAATGCATGTCCAGGAAATGAAGACTGTGGGCCAGCCCCACTTAGTGCACAGAGTAAATAGAGTACAAATACAGTTAGGGCACAGTTACACAGTCAGGGTAGACACAGACAGCACGCATAGTCAGGGCAGACAAATCCAGACCCACGCAATCAGAGCATGCACAAGCAGCCAGAACAGATATACAGTCATGTCCTGCATATCTGTAATGCAATGCAGCTTTTAGTTCCTACATAGGGTGAATTTTACAATGGTAGGATTACCAGGCATTTTTAATGAAAGCTGCATTCACTTCCTATACTTATCAGTGATATCTAGGTGCGTTGGTGCTGTGCGAACAGCATACACTGGGTGGAACTTTACTGGAGCTGTACGGGCTATTGTGAATAGCCCGTACAGCACCCCCTCGGTTCTACTGAACCGAAGGGGTCCTGGGGCCGAAGGATCGGCCGAAGCTACGGCCAGATGCTTCGGCAGCTTCGTGAATAGACCCCTTAGTCTCACCTAGCAGATCTTAAAGTCAGAGAAAATGAAAATACAAATCAGTGGTGTTTTGCAAACATTTGATGAGGTTTGTGGATTAGTCAATTATATGCTTGTTATGCCCTAGTGGGAAACAGAGCAGGAGGAACAACCCATCTGATATAAAAAAAAATGTTTTATTAAAAGATAAATCATATAGTAACTAATATTTAAGTTATGAAAGACGCTGAACGAGTGAATCATTAAGTCTTTCAACTTTGTTCTTTAGTTGCCAGTTTTATACACCAAAGCAATGGATTATAATTCCTTTTCACACTTTTGTAATATATACAGTAAAAAATATTTGTATTTATTGAGAATCCATTAGTGATAATGAGACACATTTTACTCAACCCTGGGAGGTTAATGACCTAGAGATTTTGCTAGTATAATCTCTCAGAGTCTCTATACGTTTTAGATGGACTTAATGTTTAAGTAGGAATAGGAGAAGCATGCATTTGGTTGATGCTTGACAATTAAGATATGATTTGTTGTATATATTTTAGTTTTTTCAGGTAATGCCGACACAGCTGGACTTTTTAGACCTGCAAAACACATTGCTTCTAACTCAGATGGAACTTCAAAAAAAACAGATGGCACTTACACAGAAAGGACATCAACTAACTGATGCTAAAAGGTTTCAGCAGTTGCTAGAAGTTCAATTATTAGAGGGAAAACAGCAGAAGGAAACTACATGGAAACATAACCAGGTACCTTTAGATCAAATCACAAATTTTAAAATACTGTTCTTTATTTTAAGGGGTACTTTTAGCCTTATTACTCAGGTAATTATGCACCAGCAAATCTAAACTGAAAGAAAGTTTTGGTGCCTTTCTATGATTTTGTTTGCAGACTGGGCAGACAAAAGACAATCTCAAGTGAAGTACTCATACCTGCTGCATGATTTTCCTTTACTTGACATGATCCAATTCAACTCAGTCTTTCCTTTTTGATAGCATTCGTAAGAAAAATAATAGAACGGGATCTACATTTTCACTGACTTGAATATACTAAATTCCAGTAAATACCAAAACAAAGGGGATTTGCCTCATTACAACTGGGCTGTGTCTAATTACAATGGTTATATCTTAAGGGGGACCTTACAGACTGCTAACTAGCAGTGCTAGGTCACAGGTGCCGGGGTAAGGAGCCTGTCTTCCAAAATGGAGTGTGCAAACTGTACACTCCATTCAGGTTTCCGTACACAGAAGTGTGATGCACTGCATTTCAGTAACCTGCATTGCCATCCAGTTTTCACTATGCAGAACATGCCTGCGCTGTAGTGTGAACAGGGCACATGGAAAACAATTGTTTTCTGTGTGCCTTTGCAGAGAATAGCATTTTGCTACTGCTGAAAAACACAGCTTTCCACACTAGAGCAGACCCTAAGTGTCTCCTGCCTCAAATTAGCCCTGGAATTCTTGCAAATATATGCTCTTCATGTCCTTAGGTGCATTATCCACATTAGTGCACATGTGCACATGTTGGGAGCACATACCCAGATAGCAAGGACAACTTGCCACAAACTTGTGGCAGGGTTAAATTGTAATTCTTGTTAACTTGCCGCACACATTCCTGGGAAGTTGTAGACTTGCAGAACACTTGCAGCATAAGTTCCAGTTGACACTTTTTGAATTTGTAGCAAATTTGCTTGGCAAGTCTACAGCAAGAGTCCTTCAGGTCTTAGCAAGAGCTCTGCAAGTGTACAGCCGTTTGGCAAAGCACGTTGATCTGGAGACTTGCAATGCAGACTTGCTGTAAGTGTGCAACGAAATTGTGAAGCTTGGCAAGTCTGCAATAGTTTAGCTAGTCATTTTCAAACTTGCAGCTCAATTGCTTGCTATCTGGGTATCAGCATGCTCAGTGATTGATCATTATAAAAGGGTACCACTTCCTGAGTGTTGTAATGTTTCCTGATATCATGTTGCTGACCTTGACTACTCTGACTCATCTGCTCATCTACTTGGTTTTATACTAAGCAGTAGTTTGTTTCTCGTGTTGAATGTAACAGTTAAATACTAACATAGGGGGGCGTGGTTTGGACATGGCGGCGTGAAGACATGTTTTAGTGGAGCTCTGCAAGGTCTGGCTCTCCTGACTGTTTCAGTGGACTCTATCTGCTTTTCCCCCTGCATGCCAAAAAAAGGTTGCACAGCTCACCCACACTCCCACAGGGTCCAGATATGCAGCAATTTCTCCTTTAGAGACCAACTTCTTCCTAGGCCGGGAACAATCCCATCATGGCACCTGGTCTGGTCGGCGCTGTGAGCTCCGCGCCATGCAAGCAGCAAAGTAAACTCCCTGCCTCACATAATGGCCCCAATACTCAAAGGATGGATCGAGAGGCTTCTCCGATCCCGACCCCAATAATACAGAGTGGTGGCTCTTCACCCAGGTCGGCATCCTCAGTCCCCTCCCACAGCCAGGTTGCTGTTGAGGACGGTGATTGGCACGACATCCTTCCTAAGCTCTCTACTAAGGAAGACTTGGATGCTATGGCCACCAAAATAGTACAAGCTCTACGTACTGAAGTGCACAAAATCAAACAGCAAATGGTGTCCCTGGACCATAAGGTCACTGTGGTTGAGACCACCACCTCAGATCTGCTCTCCAGAATGTCGGCCTTGGAATCGGCCCAGCTTAACAAACATTGCTTGACAACACTGTTCCTCCACCAGGATGATGCTGAGAACAGGAGCCGCCCCAATAATCTCAGGCTGAAGGGGATCACTGAGGCTTCAGCGGGCACGGAGCTCCACTCGACGGTCACAGCAATACTTCACATGCTACTTGACAAACCTCCGGGTGATCCTAGAGAGCTGGATCAAGTATACCGCGTGCAATCCATTCGTCCTGCTACTTCTGGAATGCATAGGAATGTCCTCTGCCAGGCGCATTTTTTCTCGATCATGGAAGAAATACTGCGGCGAGCGGTAGTCCTTCTGCACTTCGGCTCAAGGCTCAATGACTGAAGGCAGCCGATGTACGGCTGATTTTAGCCGATGCATGGTTGAAATCAACTGTATAAGACTGAAGTGAATAGCTGAACAGCGTTCAACTCACTTCACTACGGCTGGGTTAGTTGCTCGGCTGCCTTCGGGAGCTTTGTGAATAACCCCCTTAGTTTGTAAAATTGCTATGTGTTTCAGCCCACAACAGGACTTGACTACATTTCTGACAGTTGAGCAGTTTTTTTTCTGTACTTGCAAGTTCTTTAAAGGGATAAAACATTGAGAAATGTACATGTTTCCTTAATTATGCTCCCAACTCTCCCTTTGGCACAAACTGTGCCTGACTAGATATGACCATGAGTTTTACTACGTAGTTTTATATAACCTAGATCTTGTTTAGGCCAGATAATCTGATGCTTCAGTTCCCGGGGACATCCACTTACCAATGCGTGCATATAACATGTCAAGTGGCTGCAGATGGTGAAGCACACTGCTAAAGTGGTCACCCTAATATAGGTCTACACCTTTCATTATCATTTTTTTCTGCATGATACTGCAAATATACCAATAAATACAGTTGTTTTTAATAATCAGATATATGGCAATGTGGACTATGTGCAATTTTTATAATATATTACATTTGATATATTTGTAAAAATAACAAATTGCCTTCTGCATAAAAAAAATCATCACTGATCTTTTTTCCAGGAACTGCACAGAGCTTTGCGTAAAATACAAAAAGAACTGCAGGAGAAGAACCAATACCTTAAACATGTAGAAGAAGAGAAATGCACAAAACTAGCAGCTCAGGAACAGAGTATCCAGAAACTAAAAGAAACTGTGTCAAAGAAAGACCAGATGTTACAAGTGAGTAAAGGACTTAAAGTATATATAAATCCAATATCTAAATTCTTTCATTAGCTTTAACATGTGCACATAACTTCAAAAGTCATTTTCAATATTGTTTAAAGTGTATGCATAGCCAAAACTTTTTGTAAATTGATAGAAACAGTTTGAGATCCAACATCAGAGTCTCAGATGTGATCTTTGGGTATAAATTATTTCCAAGTACATGGATCTACAAAGGTCACCGAGGGCTTGTTTTAAAGAGCTTTTACTGTTGGATTCGGCCCCACAATCTGGTTTGTCTCTGCATCCTGTTACCCTACTGCTTTTGTTTACATCTGAAACAAAATGATATAACTATAATCTAGGATGAAACACAAAACACACCAATTACATTTCATCTTTACGTTCCACAGATGCATCCAACCTGCTGTGTGACCATTTATAGTCTAATGGGTTTATTCACTATTGAGCCAAAGGATATAGCCGTAGCTTCGGCTAATCCTTTGGCTCACTTCGGCCGCGGAGCACTTCGGTTCAGCCAAACTGAAGGGCTGCTGTACGGGTTATTCACAATAGCTCGTACAGCAGCCGAACAGCTTAGCTGAGCAAAATGCATATGCTTCGGCTTGGCTGAGCCGAACACACAGCCGAAGCAGGCAGAACGGTCTTCCCACAATGTAATTTTTTTTTTTTAAACGGTGCAGGTTCCCCCTCCCAAACCATACGAGAAGGGATTGTTAAGAGGGACCCCCATGTAAAAAAAATAAATAAAGTGTGTGGAGTTCCCCCAATAGTCATACCAGGCCCTTAGGTCTGGTAGGAATTTTAAGGGGCAACCCAAAAAAAATGTGGAGTCCCCCCTAATATTCCCAACCAGACCTTTAATCAGGGCACAGGCCTGGCAGGGCAGGAAAGGGGGGGGGTAGGTGAGCCCCTCCACTACACCATACCAGGCCACATGCCCTCGCCATGCCGATGAGGACAAGGGCCTCTTCTGCTACAACCCTGTGGTTGTGGAGGTTTTTGGGCAATGGGGCTTATTTGCATTGGGGTACCCCCTTTAACAAAGGGGCACCCAGATGCTGCCCACCCCACTTGTGAATAAGTAAGGGGTACTTCTACCCCTACTCATTCACTAAAGGGTTAAAGTAAAATAAATAAAGAGACCACACTTTTAGAAAAAGTCCTTTAATCGAAAAATAAACACAGCAAAAGTTTTTGACAATTCCTTTAATAAAAAAATTTGAATTCCAAAAATTGACCCACCGACATAATCCATGGGTCAATCACGATGTCCAGCGTTGTCCACGTCACCGCCAACTCGTCGAAATTATTTTTAAAAGTCTGCACCCGACAAACTGCTGCCGCAAACTGACCGGTTTAACAGGGGACGGCAAAATGTAAACACATGGGCAGAGCTAGTGGTGACATTCACACCTGAGGCCTTGTAACACTAACGAGTCACATGACACCGGGGAAGGAAAAAGGCTAATTGGGCCCAATTTGGACATTTTCACTTAGGGGTGTACTCACTTCTGTTGCCAGCGGTTTAGACATTAATGGCTGTGTGTTGAGTTATTTTGAGGGGACAGCAAATGTACAGTGATATACAAGCTGTACACTCACTACTTTACATTGTAGCAAAGTGTAATTTCTTCAGTGTCGTCACATGAAATTATATAATAATAATATTATAAAAATGTGAGGGGTGTACTCACTTCTGTGAGATACTGTGTGTGTGTGTATATATATATATATATAAATATATATATATATATACTGAGTGGCCAGATTATTATGACCACCTGACGTTTGTAGGCAAGTTAGCTATAATTAGCTATCATTTCGCGCTGAAGTTGCTAGAGGGCCAGACCATTATAAATAGGGAAGCAGGTGGTTTACCACGACAGTAGAAGGGATTTACTGAGTGGCCAGATTATTATGACCACCTGACGTTTGTAGGCAAATGAGCTATAATTTCGCGCTGAAGTTGCTAGAGGGCCAGACCATTATAAATAGGGAAGCAGGTTGTTTACCACGACAGTAGAAGTGATTTTTTTCTGAACATATGGGTAAACCACGCGATTTAACAGCCTTTGAACGTGGGATGATTGTTGGCGCTCAAGCCATTTGCCCAGTATCAGCAAAACAGCAGAATTCGTTAAATGTTCAAGAGCAGCTGTTGTTAAAGTGTTTAAAGACTGGACTGTCAGCAGAAAATCTGGGTATGAACGTGCGAATTGTGGCCGTCAGCGACTAGTCAATGTTAGGGCAGAACGGAGAGGGGCAAGACTGGTACAAGACAACAGAAGGGCAACAGTGCAGCGTCAGATTCCTCGCATCACCTTTCAACATCTCATGGAGTCACGAGGCGGCCCAACGAAGTCATCTCGTGGAGTCATCTTGTGGCCCAACGAAGTACTGATGGGGTAGTCATAGTAATCTGGCCACTCAGTGTAGATATATATATATATATATGTGTGTGCATGTGTTGTAGGTAAGTTGCGTTCATAGTTTCTTTGTGATTAAAAGGTGGTTGAAAGTTATAAATCACTAAAGAAAAATGTAATCTGTAAAAATCTGAAAAGCCAAGAAGTTTATACAATTATACATTTTGTGACACATCAGTAAAGTTGTTCTCCTACACAATGTACACCAGTGTGTATGAATTTGAATGAAGGGTGCAAGCTGGTTTGAACAAGCCCTCAATCCTTTCCCACTCTATCCAAAACAGATTGATGGCTTTACATACACTTTAACAATTCAGGAAATTAATATACTCCCTATTAACATATATTAAAATGGTAACTAGGGATGCACTGATACTAGTATTGGTGCCGATAATAGTATTTGGGCGGGTACTTGTACTTCCGGTATCAGGAACCCGGGCGGCGAGTTAACACACGCTGCCCGGTTTCCTGATTGGCTGGGAAGCCAGCTCCATGCTCCCTCGTCACCAGAGAGCATGAAGCTGGCTTCCCGGCCAATCAGGAGGCCGGGGGGCGGGTAATGATTGGCCAGAAAGCTGGCTCCATGCTACCTCATCAACTGGTGATGAGGTAGCATGGAGCCAGCTTCCCAGCCAATCAGGAAGCCGGGCGCCGTGTAATGACTCGCCGCCCGGCTTCATGATTGCTCGGGATGCTGGCCAATCAGGCAGCCAGACAACGAGCCCCCGACTTCCTGATTGGCTAGAAAGCCGGCTCCATGCTTCCTCGTCACCTGGTGAAGATGGAGCATGGAGACGGTTTCCCGGCTAATTGGGAAAGCGGGTGGCGAGTCATTACACACTGCCCGGCTAATCAGGAAGCCAGGCGGCAAATCATTACACGCTGCCCGGCTTCCTTAACCTCCGCATCAGTGGGTTGCCCGGCTTCCTTAGACTCGCATCAGTGGGTTGCCGTCTCCAGACAGCATTTTTTTCCTGCTCGCGTGCGCCCGGGCAGGAAGGACCCGCTTGTTTTTACAGCCGTTAACGGCTGTTTCACATACAACCGATCAGCGGCTCTATAGCCGCCGATCAGTTGTATGGCGCGATTTTGTCGCCTGCCGCCACCCCCCCTCGAGTGCCGCCGCTGACCCCTCACCTTCAATCCCGGGATCCGCTACCCCATCTGTGGCCCGGGACTGGCTCGGGAGGGCG